AAGAAAGTGGTCATGTGTATGTCGAAGAAAATGAAAATGAGGACCACATAGAAGCAACAAGGGATAATACAATGGAGGAGCAAGATGTGTAAATATAGTTGAACAAAACTGTAAATGGGTGTGAAGGGAATTTTTTGTAAATGGATACACACCAATAGTTAGTTTCTCGTAATTACATGCAACCCCTGTGTTTTTTTGGGATGGGTTGTGAAATAGGTGTAGTTTCATGTATATGAAGGTGTAAATAAAAGTTCACTATGAATTGGCATGTTAGATTCTGCTGTCATTTAAGTTGTCATACCTGCACCCTGTATTGTCATTAGACCTGTTATGACTTATCAATAGAGCACTGTCACTTGTCAATTAATTTGCTGATGTAAGTTGTCAACAATATGAATTCAAGTTACATAACCTGTTTTAGTAACATATGATATTTTCAATCACTCTGTCATATTATATTTTTGGTTATTTGTCATATATAATCATTATTAATGAAGTGTCAATGGTGGCACTGTGACTTGTCAATGGTGGCATAGTGACTTGCCAATCATGTCCTTAAGACTTGTTAATGGTGGCGTTGTGACTTATCAATGGTGGCACTGTGACTTGTCGTTGGTGGCACTGTGACTTGCCAATGGTGGTACACTGACTTGTCGTTGGTGGCACTATGACTTGTCAATCGTGACACACGGACTTGTCATTGGTGGCAAGATGACTTGTCAATGGTGGCACACGGACTTGTCATTGATGGCAATGTGACTTGTCAATGGTGGCACTGTGACTTGCCAATGGTGGCACACTGAGTGGATTTTGAGCACCACGGTGGATTGTTAAAGTTACAAAAATGAGGCTGAATAGTTGATATGCCTTGCTTGGAGTTCAAAGTATTTGTGAAGATTGTATGCTCTGTAGTGGTTACTATATTCCTTTGTGGGGATTTCTATTTCCATATTGATGATTGCGTCTGAAAAAGAGGACGAATAAAGGGCACTTCAATCCCAAACACTTTATGGCAACACAGACTATGTGTATTTATTTGCTGCTGTTATACTTGTCAATGACTACTCTTATAGTTGTCACTAGCAGCCTGCGTAGTTGTCACTGCATGCTCTGTTAGTTGTCACTGGATGCTATGTTAGTTGTCACTGGATACTGTGTTAGTTGTTATCACGTACCCTGTTAGTTGTCACTGGATGCTGTGTTAGTTGTCATCACATGCTCTGTTAGTTGTCAGTGGATGCTTAGTTGACTAGATGCTGTGTTAGTTGTCACTGCATGCTCTGTTACTTGTCACTGGATGCTCTGTCATTTCTCACTGGATGCTCTGTCATTTCTCACTGGATGCTCTGTCATTTCTCAGTGGATGCTCTGTTAGTTGTTAGTGGATGCTGTTTTTTGTTACTGGATGCTCTGTCCCTTGTCACTGGATGCTGTGTTACTTGTCACAATATGCTCTGTCTCTTGTCACTGGATGCTGTGTTGTTAGTAAAACCTTTTGATTATGTTTTTTTTTTTGCAGATGAACTGTTTCCATACGATGTTGCGTGCTGTTAAGCCAGATGAACTGTTTCCATATGATGTTGCGTGCTGCAGGATATACCATGCCACGATACTCCAATGATGAATTGCAAGAGTTGAAGGTTGGCTGTTTGTGGTGGTTGGTTACCCATTCACAAAATGAACATAGGGATGAAGTAATGTCAATGCTATCGGACTTCAACAAGAACAAGAGGAGGAGATAGAGGAGTCCATTAATTTTTTGTTCTGTTATGTCAGGATGTGTTATGAGATGATTGGCACCTAAGGGTGTGAGCCATGAGTGGCAATAGCTTAATGGTCAATAGGTCTTTTTGTAACAAACTAATCAAATTATGTTTATAATATTATTATCTTTGTTATCAGATGTTATGATACCAATTTCTTGGGGACAACTCACATTTTTATTTTTTTTGTTTTATATCTTTATTGATATCGACAAATTTATGTAATATTAATAAGTAATATAACATGAGTTAATGACAAGTGATATAACAAATGAATATGTGGATATTAACAATTGATATTCAAAATTTTTACAACTGAAGGTGTTATTTATTTGTAATGTTAAGTAATATTTATATTAAAATATAATTAATCAGAAGGTGTTACTCAGAATTATGTTCAATTAACAAGTCACTCTGCTCTATTGGCAAGTCACAGTGCTACCAGTGACAAGTCACAGTGCTCCATTGGCAAGTCACAGTGCCACCATTAATAAGTCACGGTGCGACGATTGACAAGTCATCTTGCCACCAATGACAAGTCCGTGTGTCACGATTGACAAGTCATAGTGCCACCAACGACAAGTCAGTGTACCACCATTGGCAAGTCACAGTGCCACCAACGACAAGTCACAGTGCCACCATTGATAAGTCACAACGCCACCATTAACAAGTCTTAAGGACATGATTGGCAAGTCACTATGCCACCATTGACAAGTCACAGTGCCACCATTGACACTTCATTAATAATGATTATATATGACAAATAACCAAAAATATAATATGACAGAGTGATTGAAAATATCATATGTTACTAAAACAGGTTATGTAACTTGAATTCATATTGTTGACAACTTACATCAGCAAATTAATTGACAAGTGACAGTGCTCTATTGATAAGTCATAACAGGTCTAATGACAATACAGGGTGCAGGTATGACAACTTAAATGACAGCAGAATCTAACATGCCAATTCATAGTGAACTTTTATTTACACCTTCATATACATGAAACTACACCTATTTCACAACCCATCCCAAAAAAACACAGGGGTTGCATGTAATTACGAGAAACTAACTATTGGTGTGTATCCATTTACAAAAAATTCCCTTCACACCCATTTACAGTTTTGTTCAACTATATTTACACATCTTGCTCCTCCATTGTATTATCCCTTGTTGCTTCTATGTGGTCCTCATTTTCATTTTCTTCGACATACACATGACCACTTTCTTCATTGAACTTTATCAAATGTTCCACCCCATCATCATCTACTAACTCCACAAAAGTTTTTTTATCAGATACAACTGAGAATTTCAGAAGAAATGAGTTGTTTTCTTTTCCAGCAATTGATGATATAATTTCCTTCAATGCTTCATAACTTGTGCCCTCCTTTACATTGGTTGTTCTTACACTACCTCCCACATATCTCATATTATCTTCTCCATTATTTATAAACTTTCTCCATATGTGAACAAAGCAAAATAGATGTTTTCTAGATGTACTTGCCATCAGTAACTTAAACCTGCATCAAGAATCACGCAACTGTCATTGACAACTTAAGGAGCTACATTGACAAGTGTAGCGGCACACATTGACAGCAATCGCGGCCTGATTGACAACACAATCCCATTTCGTGCTAAGGGTTTCTATCCTCACTAACCTTCATCTTTTTCTTCCTTTGCCACTAAACTAACGTCAGAACAGAGGAAAACAACCCAAAAACAGAGCACCCATTATCATTCTACACACCCAACTTAAATCACAACACACACCAACAAAAAACATAGCTTTTCCATTCATTAACTTCTGAATCCTAAACCAAAAACAAAAGCTTTGAAATACCATCAGTAACTTAAACATGCATCAAGAAGCACGCAACTGTTATTGACAACTTAAGGAGCTACATTGACAAGTGCAGCGGCACACATTGACAACAATCGCGGCCTGATTGACAACACAGTCCCATTTCGTGCTAAGGGTTTCTACTCTCACTAACCTTCATCTTTTTCTTCCTTTGCCACTAAACTAACGTCAGAACAGAGGAAAACCACCCAAAAACGACCCAAAAACAGAGCACCCATTATCATTCTACACACCCAACTTAAATCACAACACACACCAACCAAAAACACAGCTTTTCCATTCATTAACTTCTGAATCCTCAACCAAAAACAAAAGCTTTGAAATACCAAAGGCAAAAATGATTTTTTCATTTCCCATTCCCAAATAAATGCACAATCTGTCAAGAAAGGTAGGAGAGGAGAGAAAAGAAAGTTCCACACCTGAAGATTTGTCAAGCTTCAACATCTTCTTCACCCATGGAAATCCTCACATTTACAGAAGCTTCACCATGATAATTTTGCGCGGGAAATCCTCACCAAATGAACTTCTCCCGTCTCTTTTTCTGATAACAGGTCCAGGGCAAGAGGGTAATTTCCAGATTCTGAAAATTGTATCTAAGTCCCTTTGGGACTTCAGAAAAATTATGGGATTTCAGGGGACCTTTTTGTTGTATTTTTGCTTCTATGGGACCTCAATGTCATTTTCCCTTAAAAATAATCAATTTACCTCTATTAAAATCAAATGGAACTCGTAAAAGGGAGCTATGGGTTTATACAAATTCACTAATTACCTATAATTCATTATAACTTCATGATAGTAGAGAAATGTACAGAGAAGCTGTGAAATTTTCAAAATAAATACAGGGCTTGATGACAGAGTTAATCTATAAATTTTAAATATAACAAAATAATCCACCATTCATTTTATGATATTTATAATAACCATATACAAGAAAAAGTAAGGGAAAATCGCAAAAACAAACCTAAAATAGAAATAAAAATCCATTACAATATTAGTATAGGTTTTGACAATAACTGATAAGCAAAATGACAATAATTTTTGTAAATAGATCCTTATATACAATCTTTTATTTTAAGAATTTTTTTAATGATTTTCTCAAAAAGTAAATTGGACAGGCATCAATTGAGAACTTTGTAGAAAATCGTCCAAACGATAATTTGGACATGTATAAGGAAAATCAAAAGAGACACCGATAAGGAAGCTTGAACAGATTGTTTTAAGTCCCATGAGAAGAGCTAGATATAAGACCAAAAAGAACCAAATGAGACGATGCTTGTTGTAATTTTCTTTTTGACCTTTTAATTAAAATAGAATCCCAATTTAAATTAACCCATGTAGTGTCTCTTAAGTGCATACAAAATGCAGAGGGCTAAATTTAGTAAATTCCAGTAAAATAGATAATGTAATTCGAAATAAGAACTTCCAACACACATCTCTATCAGAAGACCAGATTCAAGGGCCTGGAATAAATTACCTAAACCTAAGAGCACGATTTCTTGCAGAATAATTGTGATATATACATATACTTGCTCTAAGAGAAACATTAACCTATCATCAACACAATGGTAATTCCTGAATGCAAAATCAATAGAGAGAGAGAAAGAGAGAGAGTTGCATATAACCATCACAGTATTGCAGGGGAAAAAACCAATGGTGGCGAAGGTCATATTTGCTATTGTATCTATGACAAATTGACGATGCAGACAAAATGGACTTGCGCTTCATCAGAGAAGGACGCCTATGACTGCTCTCAATTATTTCCTTCAGCCATGCAGTACACAGATAGAGGAGACCTCCTTCCCTAGCTCAACAAATGACAACAGAAAGAACGTCTAAGGCATTCTGTACACCACAATCATCAGTTAGAGGTCAAGAAGCAAACGGTTGGCATGCTACGACCGAGCAATAGGGGCGCTACCCTTCGTAAGCGCTTTTGTAAAGTAGTTGCGTATTTCTGGCATGATGCGTTGAATCAGATGAGAATGCCTGCAAATATTCGGTGCACAAGGAAATTCAAATCCGGGAAAATCAGACAGAACTCATACAATTATAGATATGAATTTCAGTTTTTAATTTCTTTTAATATACGTAAATGGGTTAGTAACAGCAACCACGTTCTGAATAGTTGTGCTTGGATCAACCAGATGATACCAGATTACCGAACTCATGTCAATATAATGGAAATTTAAGATATCAGAAAATCATAAATAAGTCGCATAAACAGAGGATGAGAAGCGAAAATTGGGTTTGGGATTGAAGAGAGAGAGACGAAATGAGAAATGAATTTTTTTTTAATAACAAATGCGGGTCCAAGCCCTCAAAGAAATGAGAAATGAAATTTTAGCATTAACATTTTATTATTTTTTTATTAGAATATGAGAAATGAAATTTTAAAATTTACCTTTTATTCAATTTTGATTAGAATAATCAGTCCAAAAAAATGATTAGAATAAATGTTGGTTTTCTTTCCCAGCTTGACTCATTCTCCTCAATTCAAACAAAGTATAAGGGGCAAATAGTTTGATTTAAAACCGAAGCAAAGAACATATCAGAAGTAAAAGTCAATTCTTGTTTCTTTCCCTCAATCCTATTCAATCCAAACATTGCTGACAAGCCACCAAATTAAAATGAAAGAAAAAGGCTCTCCAACGGCCCCCACCCCGATACTCATTATCCCCACCACTAAAAATTTAAAACGAATAAATATTTAGTTGATTTTTTTTTTTGGGGGGGGGGGATGGCTCCTCAAATTTGTACAACTGTAAACCCTCCATGTCCCATGTAAACGAAAATACCCTAATATAGAAAAGGATTGGCACTAGAATGAAGCAGGAATTTTGGGTTCAGCCATGTCACTCCAGCCCAGAGGATTGATCCTTAGTACTCCTAGTCTCCTATTAATTGTTTCTAATGCAACCAAAATACTATTGTATTTTGTAAATTATACATCCATTCCCTTCCCTTATGCCATTGAAAAATCTAACATAAGGGTGCACAGAGTTCAAGGATCAGATTATTACTGCATTACTGAGGCAAAAAGAATATCTAACATAAGGGTGCACAGAGTTCAAGGATCAGATTATTACCCTGGCCTGGCACACAGTTTATCATACTGCTCTAGGATATAAACGATGCAGGTGTCCCTCAATGATATTGCATTAAAGGCTTCCGAAAGTTCATACATACTTGATACAGTCTCAAGTGATATATCCTGGGCGAAAAATCAGTTGTACAACGTAAGCCAGTATCCTTCAAGTCTAATATTAGTGCAGGAATATATGACAATGCACAAATGTGTATGTAAAACTAGCTACATCAGCTCACCTGCGCAATTGCATACTCACACAGTCTCTTAAGTCCTTCTAGGAGATATTGATCAGCTGCTCGAAGGAGCTCTTGAGCAATGTCCAAAGTAACATCAACTGACCCAGTATAGATGAATCTGGACAAAATTTAATTAAAAAAAATGTAAGTTCTCTGCAGACAATCAGATTAAAGGCTTTTTTAGCATCACAAATTTCACAAGACACAGCAATTCAAAATTCATATTATACCTCATCATTAGTTCAAAAACCTCCCATCTTATGTTTGGAATTTCTATATCCCTTGCATCCTTCTCCTGCCATACAACATATTAGGGGATTAACAAAGGTGTAGAATGTAAATTAACATGCATTTTTTCACCTCAATTGTCAATTTAAGGTAAAGGCTTGGATGGGTATGATGTATAATTATACTACCTTCGGTCCTTCCTTAATATAAAAACTAGATAACTAATTTTGGAAAGATTAAGAAAATTTATTAATTTGGTTAATTGTATCAAATGCACATTAACTTTCCTAATCTATTATCTTTAATCATGTGGATTAGAAGTATCCCAGATGGGAACCCCTTAAAATCAATTAATAGAGATATTTTTTAAAAAAATTATAAATTTAAGAGATAAAGTACATTAAGATCTTATATTTAGGATCAAATTCAACTTAGTAGTATTTACTTGGCAAGGCTTCCAATGAACAATTAGATGGAGCAATGAACGAGCACAACCCTATGTTTGGATTGGGGGGGGGGGGAATTAGGGAAGAAAGAATACTAGGAGAGAAAACTCCCAAAAATAGTAAATTTTTTTGCTATTTTTGGAAGTTTTCCTTCCTAGTATTCCCTCCCCCCTATTTTCCTCCCACTTTACCCTCCATCCAAACATAGCCTGATTGAATGGAGTTAATAAATGATTTTCTTCATATTTTCATTCAAGAAAACAGTGCCACATACGATTACATTTTTCCTGGGGGACGAAGGGAGAAGAGATTACACACGGGTCAAGATCAACAAATAGATACTCACCCTATAACCGCCATCAAACATTGCACGAAATGCATCTGAAGATGCAAGTAGGCAGATTCTGTGAGCATAAAACCGCTTCCCTGCAGTGAAGATTGAACACTACTCAATAAACTAAGCATTCTACATGATGCTACAATAAATTTCATTTAAAATAATTTATTTTCAAAGAAAAAAGTTTTAAGGAAAAGGGAAAAAAAGTTTGTGACAAGCATCAACCTTCAACCAAAAATGTAACATCAGACAGTGTAGCATTGTTAACATACTGCTCTCCCAAATACACCTGCAAAAAGAATAGTTTATTATTGCATGCATTCCAACTTTATGAGACAACTTACTGTGGAATAGTCTGCAGAAGGAGAAGTAAGAAAAAGAAGATATCTGTAAGGATTCTTACAAGTGCAGGCATAGTTGACATCAATTATATCACATAAAAACCAAAATTGGATCAGCATATGCAGACTAATTACACGGACCATTTATATATCACAACAAATTGTTTACTGGATATGCACATCAACTTTGAAATGCAGTAGGCCTACATTAAGAAGAAGATAATATGTTAACTACTTATTGGATTAGCATATGCTTAACTAGTTACATTGTTTACCCTATGAAGATCCTCTGATCTCCGATTACTCAGTTATTATCCAACCAAATACACTGCACAAGCATAGATTGAATGGCATTACACTAGCAGCAACCCGGCAAAAGAAAAAAGAACAAGAGAAATGTCTTGCTAGCTTTTGAGGGGCTGGACTCTCTTCCAACTGCAGACTAAACCTTCGGCTTTCACTGTGTATGGAGGTTGATGAGGACCCAGCACCGTACTTACATCAAGTAAAATGAGCTACTTCATAGGGTATTTAGTGCAGGTGGCTCTACACCTTATCAGCTATTACTTTTGGGGTGGATTTACCCTCTGTTCCTTGGGTGCTCATCAAGTATACAAAATTACATATAAATTTTAAAAATTGTGGAAGGCCAGACTTCTTGTCCAATCAATCAAATGCCATATCGCCAATCAATTGCAGCACCTATATATTACAATGAAACAGCTACATACTTTTTGAGCTTAAACTTTTGGATGAATCTGTGTTTCTTTATAGAGAGCAGAAAACCTAAAAGCAAGTAATGTGGAATTATCCTGATACCTCAACAGCAAGGATAAGCAAAGGACGGAATTAAATCACACACGGGGAGCACAAATGGTGTGTCAAGATATCAAACTGTAGAAGGATTTGTTTTTTTTTTTTGGGTCATGGTAAGCTCATGGGAATGAAGGTATGAGGCCACGCCACCACAGGATATAAGCCCACCTGAGGTGTTGGAGAGAGGGGAGCATCATCCATGGGAGATAGAGTCATGGCTTTCTTGGCCAACCTGCATAAAGCTACAGCACCATCAAGTTGCTGCTTTGGGCTAGAAGAGCCAAGAAGCCCAATCAGCAACTCCAAACCTGCACGAACAGATAATCAGAGCCATGAACATAGGAAGGATTTAAGCAACAAGAACCATCAGGAATCAAAGATCAAATTTATGAAAAGGATTATATGGAGCAAACCATTGTTATCAATGAATATTAATCTCTGATCATCCACAGAACAAAGATGAGCAAGAGCCAGTGCAACTCGTCTTTGGACAGCCTTTTCTGAAACTCGCATAAGATATAACAAATGACTCAGGACCTGCATGGTGAAAAATAGAGGATTAAAAATTCGAACATCTTGATCAAATAAACTTATAGGCTGAGAATCAATACAGCAGTTCATGATATTTCAAAATTAATCAACATTATATGCATCTCAATAAATTATAAAGGGCACTTCTGCTTACGCGGCCATGAATCTTTTCCTCTAATCTTTTCAATGTCTTTGCAACACAATCTTTTGTCGCCTGCAGAAAGGTATGAATTCCATGCAGATCAGAATAGGTCCAAGGAGAGTTTTTTCCCACCCCAGTTCTCAAAAATAAGACCATACCATGCAATCACAACGTACATGATTCCAATGATATGACAAGATTAAAAAAAACATCATAATGGAAGCTAATTTCTCAAAAGCAGATAAGTACAGTACTTACTTGAACAATAAACTCTCCATCCTGCAGTCTCTGAATTCCACCTACCCTAATAAAATCGGACACATTATCCTATGGAAGAAAATGAAATAACAAAAGAATAATCAATTAAAATTGTGCTCAGATTTTCAACCAATTTAATAACAAGTTATCCCAATTTCATTAGAATCCTTAGTTATATCATACCTCATTATCTGCAAGGCCATAAAGTGCAAAAGCTGCATTATGCTGCAAAGACCCATTTTTGGAATCAAGAAGCTTAAGTAATGGCGCTAAGCCACCATTGTGTGCAATACCAGCTTGATTATGCACGTCCTGAAGTCAAAAATTTCTTTCAGGCCAGAGATGATGGTGCTAGAAAGAAACTATTATTCAACTTTCATATAGAAGCAAGGCACGTTGCACGGCACTTAATATCAAATAGCTAGTGTGATGCTACTGAGGTGGGCTAAGACCATTAAAATTTGACAGAACAAATATTATTTAGCATATGGCTAACATAACACATTATGCTAATGATTGAACATGACGGTGAATTTTGCTTTATTAGCTTACACAAGTAAGAAGTAGAAAATTATAACCTGGAAAATAAAAAGTACAGGGGATAACCTGTGCCAGTCGCCCCAATGCAAAGGCAGACATTTCTCTGAGTTGTAAATCCTGGGATTGAAGCATCTCTATCAGAGGTGGAACAGCACCTCTCTGAACAATATGAACCTACAAAATTCAAGTAAAACAGATATTGAGACGAAGTTGATGGGAAGCGAAGGGAAGATGGAATGCACCATGCATCATAACAGGAGTTATCACCCACACCGAATCAAATGATATTTTAGCGCCAATGTGATCCATATTTAGTAACAATAGGAGCAGAAAGTTTAATAATTGGAAGTTGGACATAAAGCAGTACTTCATAGAATTTTCTACCCTCTTTATCTTCCAGGCAACAAAGATATGAGTGTAAAGGTCTGTTCTGTTCCCCCGATAAAGCCCCTTCCTCCCTCCCCCTTCAATACAAGGTAAACAGATTAAGTTAACGCAATAAAGTTATGCTTACCTTGCAGTCAGAATCAGTAGCTGCAAACTGTCCAAGCAACAATGCTGCTTCCCTTTGGCTCTCAGAGCAGCAAGAGCTTTTACATAAAACAGTACATGTATCAAAGGCCACGAAAACTTAAATGCAAGATACCATCGTTATGCAAGGTTAATACAAGGTAAATAGGAACTCCAGGGATATAATATAGTATGAAAGTTTGCCAAAGTCCAGAACAGAGAACATACCGAAGCAATCCAATTACAGGTTGCAAAGCTCCAGCTAGAATAACTTCTTTCTTTATATTAGGAGAAGAGTGCACCAGATTTCCAATCACACCAACCTGTAATACAATTAAGGATCATCATATGGGACAAGTAGGATAAGCATAGTGACCAAACTCCATTCATCAACCACCAAAAAAAGAATGTTATACCGCTTCATAATGAATAGCAGGATCTTCAGAACGAAGCATTAGAATCAGAGTTGGAAGAGCATTGCATTCGACAATCTGCGAAGTTGTGAGCTTGTGTAACTTGATTGTAATAGTCAAGTCAATTTCAAACCTCCGACTTTCAGAAATGGTCAGTTACCTGATTTTTGTTTTCATCATTTTTAAAAGCCAGGGTACGCAGTGCGCCCGCAGCTGCTCTTTGAACCTTTGTATCAGGGAATTCAAGCAACTCAACGAGCGGTGGAATCCCACCTTCCATCCTATATATAGTGTCCAGATAATCATAAAGACAAAAACATGCCTCTTTTTAATTTGAAGGTACGGTAGTAATGGCAAAAAGCGAACCTGACACACGTTTTGATGTTACTGTTTTCATGCGCAAGATTAGTGATCGCATCTGCAGCCCTACGAATGACACTGTTCACAGCACGAGAAGCAGAGGTATTATGATGTCTCTTCAACAGATCAACAAGATGTTTTAAGGCACCATTGTCAACAATGAGCTGTTGATGTTCTGGCTGTACAAAGAATTTCCAAATAAAATAGCAAGATTAAGTAAATAATATGATAATAATTAACACTCAAAAAGAAGCCAAAAGATAAAATGATGCTGCCACAACTCTATTTCAGAGAATTGTCATCACACGTACACCTTAAACAAAGTTAGCTTGCAGCATCACATAATCAATAATTCTGTGTATACATCACAACTCGCAGAATACTATTAAACAAAGAAAAAGACAAAAAAAGGTTACGTGATAGTCTTTAACATACGATTTAGTTGTAATTCGTGTATAATATTTGAAATCACGAAACTCAAGCTACCTTGACGGCAAGAAGTCCCAGAGCAAAAGCACTCCCTTTCTCAACCTCGTGCTCAAATGGCTTCTGACCAGGATCGTTTTCACTTGAAGGAGGCGCTTGGAGATGCTTAACCAAAGCCGGAATGGCGCCTCCTTCAACAATCACGTTCACCACTTCTTCTGCAAGCACAATCATCAAATACCGAAAAGAAAACATCAATCTCAAACCACCATACGCACACAAACACACTCTCACACACGCAAGAAATGGAGAGAAACACAGTAGAGAGACGACATAATAATTCATGAAATCCAAGCAGCCGCAACAAGGAAAAAAACGAAGAGATCGAAAGACATGCTTGAATGAACAAATTTTACCATTCTTGGCAAGCTCAGCGAGGACGTGAGTGGCGCGCTTAGCCGCGGCTCGATCGGATTCCTTCCATGAGAAAGCGTAGTCAAGGACGTCAACCTGAGCCTTCACCTCGGCGAGCAACGCCTCACGGACGTCGCCGGTAGGCGGTGGAGCCGAGATCTCAGACTCCTCTTCCAATTCCTCCTCCAGCTTCCGCTTCTGTCCTTTCCTCTCAGAGAAGCCCTGATCTTGGCGTCTCTGAAGCTCCATGAACAGGAAAAAGAAGCAAGAGAGAAGAAGAAGAAGCAGAAGAAGAAGGACTCTGGCTGAGCAAGCGTGCGCTCGTAACACAAGGGAAGAGAGGAGAGAGAGGGGCTCATCCACAGTGAAGCTTAGGATACCAGATTGCAGGGGCAGTATGGGAAATTCACCCGAAAAACTTCGCTTTGATTCATTTTTCGTATTTCGCTTTTGAACTTTGGGCATAGAGAAGTGTCGGGCAAAAAACCGGCCGCATTATTTCCGGTTCAGGAGGTTGGGCAGTGCCCCACCCCCAACTTCCGCTGGTTAGTTATTACTCCCTCCAAATTAAAATACAACGCATTTTGGAATTTTTTTTATTTTACTTGTTCTTTTAAAATTTTATTATTCATATTTTTTGGAAAAAAAATTACTATGATATTTCAAGAAAAAAATCACTAGAGTCTTTCCTTAAATAAATATAAGACACGCAAATTTATAAATAATAGGAACTGTTTTTATTGCATTTATTGATATATTAGTTAGTTGAGGATTTAAATATAATAAAAAAATATTTAAAAATAAGAATTTTTTACATTTTATTCATGAAAATTATAAATTCATAACATATTTATAAGATTTAAGGAGAATATTAATTTTGAAAATAAAAAAATACTCTTCTCGTTTTGGGGGGGAAAAAAAACATGTGGCTGCTTGCTAAAGCCAGCTGCGCATGCTGGATCAGTGGCAGTGGTTTGAAGCTTCCAAGGTGCGAGCCCGCTGGCACTACAAGGGCGTGTTTGCCTGCACGTTCACTTGTAGTCATCAGTCAACAAAGTAAATAAGACTTTTTAAAACAAAAAAATCCAAACTTATTAACATGGCAGCAGCTACTAACATGCATAAAAAAAAAGATTAGATTAAGTTCGAAATTAATACTACTTTCAGTCCTAATTATAATAGCTAGTTGACTACTTTGAGGAGATTAAAGAAATAAGTTAAGTTAGTTATTTGTAATGAATAAGTGTTGTCTTTTCTAAAATATCATTACTAATTAAGTGTATTAGTTAGAAATATCATTATTAGAAAGACTTTTTTGAAAAAAAATACATAAATATGAGAAACTCAATGGATTGGAGTCTTATATTTAGGACCAAAATAAAAATCAAATAAAGTCTTATATTAAGGACCGAAGGTAGTATTTTGTAAGGAAAAAAAAGTCACGGCAAAAGAATCTAAAACGAAATTCTATTTATTGTAGTCCCGACCAAATATCCGTTCAAACTAGGCTAATACCAAATTTAAGTTGGCTTAGTAGCCAGTTAACTATAATTTATCCTAATCAAAATAAAAGTTATTTTTGTTTTATTGTAAATTACATAAAAAACATTATTTTTGACATTATTTGTTAACCTTTTATGTTAATTAATTTTTTTTGGTTAAGAATAAATATTTTTTATTAGAAACAATCTTATTGTACATACTATTAAGAAAAAAAAATACAGACATTTCTTTCGATAAAGATTTGAACATTGATTTATGGGGATGAACTCTTTTTATTAAACTTTATTTTTTTAATCCATATTTTTGGGGTGTAGCTGAGCTGGACATATGGTTTTGAGGTCCCAGCCCTTTTGGACATATGGCCTGGCTTAGCTCTAGGCCCAGTCATGTCTCAATAGACCTAGTGGGGCTAATATATAACTTGGGGTGTGTTTGGATGAAACCAAACCGTGGTTTGAAAAGGTGATTCTGGAAAATAGATTCTGAAAAAAATAAATGTTATGAAAAAGTGATTTTGAGAAGTGAGAGTATTTAGATAGTTGTTATCAGAAGCACTTTTTATATATACAAATTACTAAAAAAAAGACATAAGTTAATATGATAATTACAGAAAAAATAGATTTTATGATATATTTTAATTTGAAGGAATAAAATTGTTAATAATATACTTTTTATTAACATAATTAATAATACATAAGATAATATAATTAATAAATAATTAATATGTATATATATTTTTAAAATATAAGATTAAATATGTTTATAAAAAAATATGTTTATAAAAAAAATAATAAGATACATATCCTATAAGCTCTCACACTCTTCTCTTTTTCTCCAAAAGCAAAAAATTTCTGCTTTTTCCAAAACCACGGTTTTGGTCCAAAACCACGGTTTGCCCAAAACCAGTGGGTGTTTGGGTGACTTATCACCCAAACCATGGTTTGGGTCCCCAAACCATGATTTGGGATGTCACCCAAATGGGGCCTTGGTTTCAAATGTAAACACAGTTTTTGGCGGAAAAGATGTGAACAAATTTAGATTCATATTTAGGGTGTGTTTGGGTGACACCCCAAACCATGGTTTGGGGAATAATCTACCCAAATAGCCCCTCCAAAAACCAAAACCATGGTTTTGGAAAAAGCAAAATTTTTTTGCTTTTGGAAAAAAAAAGAGAGTATGAGGGCCTATATGATATGTATCTTGTTATTTTTTTATAAACATATTTTTTTATAAATATATTAATCTTATATTTTATAAATATATATACACATTAATTATTTATTAATTATATTATCTTATGTATTATTAATTATGTTGGTAAAAAACATATTATTAACAATTTTATTCCTTCAAATTAAAATATATCATAAAATCTATTTTTTCTGTAATATCATATTAATTTATGTCTTTTTTTTAGTAATTTGTATATATAAAAAGTGCTTTTGATAACAACTATGGGGGTGTGTTTGGATGAAACCAAACCGTGGTTTGAAAAAGTGATTTTGGAGAATAAATTCTGGGGAAAATAGATTCTGTGAAGAATAGATTTTGTAAAAAAGTGATTCTGAGAAATGAGAGTGTTTGGATAGTTGTTATCAGAAGCACATTTTATATATACAAATTACTAAAAAAAAGACATAAGTTAATATGATAATTACAAAAAAAAATAGATTTTATGATATATTTTAATTTGAAGGAATAAAATTGTTAATAATATGTTTTTTACCAACATAATTAATAATACATAAGATAATATAATTAATAAATAATTAATGTGTATATATATTTATAAAATATAAGATTAAATATATTTATAAAAAAATATGTTTAAAAAAAATAACAAGATACATATCATATAGGCCCTCACACTCTCCCTTCTTTCTCCAAAAGCAAAAAAAATTTGCTTTTTCCAAAACCATGGTTTTGGAGTCAAAACATGGTTTTGACCCAAAACCATGGTTTTGGTTTTTGGAGGGGGTGTTTGGGTAGATTATTCTCCAAACCATGGTTTGGGGTGTCACCCAAACACACTCCCAAACACTCTCACTTCTCAGAATCACTTTTTTATAAAATCTATTCTTCACAGAATCTATTTTCCCCAGAATCTATTCTCCAGAATCACTTTTCCAAACTATAGTTTGATTTCATCCAAACACACCCTTAGTGTCCACAGCGTCTTAAATAGAATTGTTTCGGATAAGCAGATACCTGCATTTCATGGGAAGAAATTTATGGGAACAACGCATCCTGCTGAGTTTGGCAGTAAAAACCGAATCTCTCACCAGCAAAGGAGACGCCGCTTGACAGTATGATATAGGTTTTTCCTATCTAGTATTTCTACCACCTAAAAGGAGCTATTAAAGCGCCTTATCCTGGGTTGAGTTGAACTAATAAGCTCCAACCTAAAATTTTGTATCAAAAAAAATTATGCCAATAAAATTGGTTTAATTAATAAAGAGTTGGCTTGTACTCCTTCAATCCTTAATACTCCTCTGGTTCTTAATATAGGACCCAATTGTTGAGTTAGTTTTAGTCCTAAATGTAATCCCTCAACTATAATCAAGTAGAAGAGAGAAGAGGTATTAAGAAAGATGATTATGGTGTTTTAGGAAAAATGTATCCCATTTTTTATAATTAACTAACATACCTAACTTCCTTAATCTAATCAAATTAGTTAAATGGGCCTTATATTAAGGACCAGAGGAGTATAAGAATTAATTGTTGAGTTAATTTTTATCCTAAATATAAAACTTATTTTTCATATTTATCAATTTTTCCTAAATTATCCATATGGATACTCTTTCAACTATAATCAAGTGGAAGAGGGAGGGATGATATTAAAGAAGATGATTACCGTATTTTAGAAAAAAAACATGTCATATTTTTTATAATTAACTAACTTACCTAACTTTTTTAATTTAATTAAATTAGTTAAATATGTCTTATATTAAGGATCGAAGGAGTAATTTATAAGATTAGTCAATTAGTTCTCATATCAAGAATGATTATCCTATCAGATAAAATGCATTGATAGTCCATCTAGACATATGATATCTTTATATTAATAAAAAAATTATTTGTATAATTATTTAATTAAGACATGAATGTTATGTCGTGGTTGCGAACAAAATTAAATCAGTCAAAGGATTACCAAGTCCCCAATAAAATGTCATTCCAAAAGTAGAAAAATATATAATGATAATTAGGGATAACCTTTTAAAAATGTTTTTTTAATAAACTAAAATTTAGTGTTACAAAGAAGTTATATTCATGATTCAATCGAGCGACTCATATTAAATAAAAAAATAAACAAATTTAACTCACTAAATTAAAAAAAAAGTTCGATCCATTCACTAAAAAAAATAAAAACTAAAAGTGTTAGTTTGCTCGATCACCAAAAAAACAAATCGTTTACTTAATATCCATTTTGAATTAGCCGTGAAAAATTAATTTTGCATTATACAAAAAAGAGAGCTCAATAATAAATTAAATAAATAGTCTCGGACCGAAAAAAAAAATCCAACCCACCCAGGAACAAGTCAACCAAGATTGCGACTGACGCCTCGTCCGAACAGCCGACTCTGACTTCTTATTAATTCAAACGAACTGGAAAACGACAATTGGCCTCTCATTGCTTCAACTGCCCTTTTTTTTTCTTATTAAAATTCACAAACAAACCCCCCACAATTTGCCCGCTTATTTTATCATTAATTTTACCCCATAATCCTTCCAAATTACTGCTAATTTTACTTTGACGTGTAATTTACTCATTTTCCTGACCTTACTAAGCTTACTCTTGTGTCAATTTAGTTATTTTATATGCCTCTAATATTTACCTCCATCTCCTTTTTTTTTTAAAAAATTTAAATTGATTTTGGTTGGAAATTGATCTTTATTAGGTTGGGATCATTCGGATTAAAATCTTCCCAACAAAGTATACTTTGCAGGATTTGAATTTATATTTTAGGTAAGTCAAACCGCCTACCATTAGTATTTACAAGGCATATTTCTGAAAATTTCCCCCAATTTTTATCCTTTTATGTTTTTTCAGACTAGATGCATAATTTTGTTAGCTTTATATTTTCTCTGCTTTTTTTTAATAGAAAACAACTAACTAATTTTTTTATATGCGCTAGTAACTAATTTATTATGACTAATAAATGCAACTAGCAGTAATTAAAATTAATAAATACGTTAAAAATATAAATTTCTCTTTAAAAATACGTTCATTTGTATGGTTACTACTTCTTTTATCCCTAATTTGAATGGGTAGTTGCCAAACACAGACAAAAGAGTGTTTCTTGTTTAAAATTTTTTCATTCTTTATAAATCTGCCCCAAATTACAAATAGAGGTAGTTTAAAAAGATTTTTTTTTTTAACATTTGATATCTTGAATTAGGGGTGTTCATGGGCAGAGCTAGGCAGGACATGCTCTTTGCCTGATGCCCCGCTCGAAAAAATGAGCAGGCTGCATTTTGTGGCCTGCTGCCCTGCCCTGCCCACAGAAGCCTTAACCATTTTCAGGCTGGGAAATAACAGGTTAGGCAAGGCGGGCTTCCAAACCCAAATAGTGATACCTTAATGAAAATTTTTTTAAGTTAAAGTAAACTATGAAGAAATAAATACTTGTATAGACAATAAATTCAACAAATCAATAACTTTGATTTGTCTTAAACTGATATATCTTTTAATATAACACTAAAGTGAGCTTGCTTTGCATCTTTGCAAGACAACCGACAATAAAAACAAACTAAAAGATACTAAACCATATTAAAAAAAATTAAAAAGATACTAAGAATGAAGAATTACGCATACCACTAAATGTATCAATGTCAAATAAAAGAGGGGAGAATAATATATATTATTATATATATTCTATATCATTATAAGTATTTCTAAAAAACAAGAATTATAAATATATATATCACGGGCATGGCCAAATGGGCAGCGCAGCATATTGTGCCCGCAGCCCAGCCCTGCCCATAATATGCCCAGCCCAAAAATGCCCATTTTCTTTTGGCTGTTTTTTTTTTTTTTGGGCTGGGCAGGGCCATTTTCTCGCCGGCTCAGGTGGGCATATCGGGCTAGCGAGCTTAATGAACACCCTATCTTGAATCTACCTTACTACAAATTACTGTTCTAGTCCTAAATATAAGACTCTTTTTGTAGTGTAAATTACGCTATAAAAGGAGTCTTACATTTAGGATTGGAGGAGTAATTTGAATTGGGTTGTTAGGGCCACAAAAGATGGCAAATTCATAGATTATTAATTTTTCAAACATTCCTTAAAAATACCAAAATAAATGTGGTTTTTTTCCCCCAAAAAAAAATGATCGTTAAAGAGGATAAAATTAATTCGTGGGTAAGTGGTTGTCATTTTCCCTCTTTTTCCTCTTCCCGCGTCGTTTCCATTTTTCTATTTTTAAGCAGTATTTGTTTAATTGTTAATTGGTGAGACTTAGCCGTCGTTACTCGTTTCGTTTCCATATAATTAAATATATTCCTTTCTTTATTCCTTCCCCCCAACTCCATTTCCGTTTGCTTCCCCACTATTCCTTCCTTCCTTCCTTCCTTTCATGCTTCTTCACCAAAACTGAAAGACCTCTTCAAAATTCATACTTCTAACAAAACCCCACAACTTGCTCTCTCTCATCTTTCATGCCATATCCATTCATTGTTTCCTTCAACCACCATGCCCTTCCTTCCCTGTCTCCTCCTCTTCTTCTCGCTCTTCCTCAACATTTCTCTCTCTCAAACACCTCCTAAAGGTACTCAAGCTTCTTGTTCGAATTTCTTTCTGTATATGGTTTATGAGGAATTCATGAAATCCATATATCAAGCTGTTAGTTTTTGAGTTTTTTCAATTGAAATTGCTTTGGGTAAATGGTTTCTGAGAAATTCATGGAACCCCCATGTGTTTTTATTGATTGTGGAGCAGCAACGACTGGGTCAAGCTATTTGTTCTTAAGTTTTTTTTTAATATAGAAATTGCTTTGTGTAAAGAGTTTCTGAGAAATTCATGTGATTTCCAGGTTTTTTCCTTGATTGTGGAGCAACCTCTAGTTCTACAATTGATGGTCTTTCATGGATTCCCGATTCGGAGTTTATTTCTACTGGTACAGCCAAGAATTTGACCACCCCTGTTTTGGCTCAAACTCTGTCCACCGTTCGATCCTTCCCGCTTCAAGACAAGAAGAACTGCTACAATTTTTTGGTGTATAGCGGGGCAAGGTACATGGTGAGGACCACGTACTTCTACGGAGGAGTGAACGGACCCGATCATCCTTCCCCGCCGGTGTTTGATCAGATGGTGGATGGGACTTTCTGGAGTGTGGTAAACACCACAGCGGATTATGCAAATGGGAACTATACCAACTACGAAGGGGTTTTCTTAGCTCAGGGAAAGACTATGACTATCTGTATCGGGTCAAATACTTACACGGATTCCGACCCGTTTATATCGGCTCTGCAGCTGGTGATCCTGGGTGGTTCCCTGTACAATGCTACGGACTTTGACAAGTATGGGCTCAGTTTGGTTGCGAGGCACAACTTTGGATACTCTGGACCCCCCATTCGGTTAGTGAAAAATTGTTTTTGCCCCATTCCTTTCAATTCTATCACTATGGAAGCTTTTTAGTAAAATTATGATTTGATGCTGTTTATGTGGGCTCAGCAGTGATCATTAGATTTGTAATGAAGTTCTTTTGGTTTACAAGTCCTAATGCTTATTGACTTTGCTTGATGGTGTCTAATTGCTACTTTAGTTTACCTTACAATGTTTTTGTGATCATGGAATTTTCCATCGGAAATTTATTGAACACCACAGAAATTCAGAGAGACTATTGTAATTTAGAGAGAAGCACACTGGTGAATGAAACATGGCCACGATCTGCTTGTAGATGCTTCTAATTTAATTTGCAGTAGGGAAGAATGTTCATAGCATTTTTCCCAGTAATAAATTAGAATTATCACACTGGCTTTATGCCTGGTTCCGTTTATTTTTCTAATAATTAGTCGTCATGGTATTACCAGGTATCCTGATGATCAGTTTGACCGTTTCTGGGCACCTTTTACACCAAGTAATTCCAGCCATTCAGGCAGCAGCAATGCTTCTGTTTCAGGAATTTGGAATCTTCCACCTTCAAAAATATTTGATACGTGGCTGGGTTCTGATCAGCTGGAATCCTTGCACTTGGCATGGCCTGAGGCATTACTTCCAAACTCCAATTACTCCATTGCTCTATACTTTGCAGATTACAGTGGATCATCATCAGGGAGACCAAGGATTTTAAACATTAGCGTGAACGGTATAAGATATTACAACGGTTTGAATGTGACTGAAGCTGGTGTTGTTGTCTTTGCCAACCTTTGGCCTCTTTCTGGTCCTACAACAATCACTTTGGACCCTGCTTCCACTTCACCCTTGGGTCCCTTGATTAGTGCCGGTGAAATTTTTCAGATGTTGCCACTTGGAGGAAGAACTTTAACGCGAGATGGTATAGCTACTTTTCTTTTTTGGGAAAGTTTGGATTATATTTAAAACAATTTTTGAGCAGGATACATATATTTAGTCAACCTGAAAATATGAGTATATTATTACATCAAAGAAGACAACTATTCCTTTGGTGACAATGCTTCCTAGCAATTTATGCCTAAGATGTTTTTCGTTGCTTATGTCCTGATGATAACAAGCGGGTAAATCTTCCAAATTTCAAGTTGGCCTCGTATAAGTAGCTTCCTTGTCCAAAATACAGTTGACTGGTTATTCTTTATTCATAGTTGCAGCCTTCTTTAAACGTTTGGTCATAGTAACGGTGTCCATGTATGTTATTTGTCATTATTCAATGTTTTTGAAAAGGGAGCTTTTCTTGACAGTTATTGCATTGGAAAAGATAAAAGAGAGCCTCCAAAATCCTCCACGCGATTGGAATGGCGATCCTTGTATGCCTCGCCAGTACTCCTGGACTGGCGTCACGTGCTCGGAAGGAACAAATATTCGGATAGTGAACTTGTAAGAACAGACTTGAGTTGTTCTAACATAGTAATTTGTACTTTCTTTTTATTCTGGTGCGCTAAACAAATGATTTTCTGACTCATGATTTGGTATTGATTTCAGAAACTTGACAAGTATGAACCTTTCTGGATCTTTATCACCTTATGTTGCCAATCTGACAGCGTTGACAAACATGTAGGTTGTTTAGTTTAAATAAATAGTTTTATGAAATTTAGGATAAACTTAGTTCTAATCAACAAATCATCGTCTTCCTGCAGCTGGCTTGGTAATAACAATTTGTCTGGACAAATTCCTGACCTCAGTTCACTAAGGATGTTGGAAACACTGTAAGTTCTATTCTTTCCCCCCCCCCCTCTTGATTCTGATAAGATGATTTGTCTTTTAGCTTACGATCAATAACACCATCGGGTAAAGTCACTATACAAATAGAATTAGACCATTCAAAGGCAACAGTGATATTATGATTGTTTTTGGTATCAATAATGATTAATGTGTTTGAGAGTAAATTGCAATTTCCAAGTGGTTGAATCTGAGAACCTTATATCATACACAGAACACAATTTTTGTATTTTCTTATCCTTTTTTTTTTTTTGGGAATTTTAAGGCACTTGGAAGACAATCAATTCACTGGAGAGATTCCCTCATCCCTGGGGAACATCAGCAGATTGAATGAACTGTAAGTTCTGCTTTCTCAAGATATATTAGAGAATGCAAGCAACTTTCTACTATTTGGAGTTCAGACCTCCACCCTTTCTTTCCAAGTAGTTTCTTATAGTTTCAATTATCCTTCTTCTATTG